GCAACTTGTAAAAGGACAACATTTCATTGGGGCTGGCTTACAGGTTCAGAGGTTCAGTCCATTATTGTTAAGGAAAGAACATGACTGCATCCAAGCAGGCATGGTACAGGCGGAGCTGAAAGTTCAACATCTTTATCAGAAGGCTGCTAGTGGAAGACTGATTTCCAGGCAGCTAGGATGAGGGTATTAAGCTGATGGCCACAGTGATACACTTACTCCAACAAGGCCATACCTCCTAATAGTGCCACTCCCTGGGGCAAGCATATTGAAACCATCACAGGAATCAATATATATTTAATATATAGTAAGGAAAAAAATAAAGAAAATATTTCATATTTGAATCATACCATTTTTAGTAGAAGAGATATTATCCACTTTTTATAATCTTATAGAATCTTTAATACCCTAAAATATTTGGAAGTTTGTATAATCCACATAAGAAAAGTAACCTAGAACAAAGGAGTGGTAATGTTACTAAATAAATATTTACATTAATACATGTATATTTTGTGTATGAAAATTACACCAACTATAGGACATGTCTTGACAAAACTGCTCATTGTAGAAATACACACATCTGTCAACATTGTAAAGTGAAACTTTTTGGCTATCTCCATAGATAACTCCACAATAGATGACTCAACATCTGCTTATGGGAAAACCTCTTAGCAAAGTAAGAATAGGAGTGAATTTCTTAATTTGATAAAAGGCATTCCCAGAACCATATATCAAGAATGTTTTAAAAGATAAAATGTTAAAACTTTCTACTTAAGGTAATAATAAAAGAGAATGATCAAAGAATACTGCTTTTGCCCCATTTTTGCCGTCCTCATGGAGTCCAAAACAAAATAATAGGGTGCTAGCAGGAAGCAATGAGGTAAGGAGATTGCTCAGTGGGTAATATCTGTGATCTTCTCCTTTGGAGGCAGAGACAGGAAGACCCCTATCACTATATCTAGCCTGATGCTAAGCTTCAGGTTAAGTGGGAGACCTTGTATGATAGTAAAGGGAGGCTGGGAAGATGGCTCAACAATTAAAAGAAGGCTAGAAACAGGTCAGTGGTCAATCAAAAACTTCCCACATGAGTTTAAAGAATGGAGACTGTATTCCCAGAACCCAAGTAAAAAGCTGCTTGGGGATATTGGCTTATTAGTTATTTCTGCACTTGGAATCCTCAGAGCAAACTGACTGGTGAACCTAGCCATATCGTGTAGCTGTGGGCTCATCTGAAAGACCCTATCTCAATGATTAAGGTAGACAGTAACCAAAGAAAATACTTGCTATCAACATGAGGTATCCACTGTCAGATACACATGGTATGTGCACATAGACACACACACACATACACACACAGACAAACACACAAACAGGCATATTTCTCAAAAAACATACACATGAATATCAACAAATAGAGTAGTAGAATATGATATCATATGACAACATGTTATCAAACTCTAGTTTCCACAAGTGTTCACACAAGTGTGCATGCTTACATGCAGAAGAACATGTGCACAGATACTCACACATATAAGAGACAAAAGCAAAATCAATTGTCTTCTTTGAAAATTACCAAATTAAGAACTCTATGGACCCTGTGTCATATTGAAGGATAGCTAGAAATTTTCTTATAAATCAAAGATATAAAATTAAAGAGCATTCTTGTTTGCAATACAAATCGTTAAAATTTGGTTGGTGAACCAGACAGCACACAGGGGCTGGTTTGAGGCCCCCTACACACGTATAGCAGAGGACTGCCTGGTTGGGGATGGTTGGGAGAAAATGTGCCTAATCCTTGAGAGACTTGAGGCCACAGGGAAGGGGAAGGTTTGCTAGGGGAGAGCACACTATTAGAGGCAAGGTGGAGGAGGAATGGGATGAGAAACTGTGGGAGAGGGGACCAGGAGAGGGTAACAGCTGGAATGTAAATAAATAAAATAATTTTTAAAAATGGGTGAAATATGTATGAAACCATAAAAATAAACTCAATCATAGTTTTACAAAATTCTTGAGGAGAAAATATAACATTCTACAGATAGACATAAAGGCACATGATAGCAACTAGGAAGTATACCATAGTGAGGACAAAAGAATGAGTATCATTTCCTCAGATAGATTCGTGGGGGCTTTGCAACCCTAAGAAAATACCTCCCAACAATATTTTCAGAAACTTAAAGAATTAGTATTAAATTTCATATGAAAATAACAGTTCAAAGTAATTGTATGAAGATGATGTGATGATGATGCAGAAGCTATATTAATTCAAACACTAGTACCAAGATTAAAAGAAAACACACAGAAAATCTAAAATAAACCCATAAATATTATAAATCTGCATGATTTCAGTTTCAATAAGACAAACTATTTAATAAACTATATAATAACAACTGACGTTCAACAGTCCAATACCTGGATCAGATCTGAAAAATCCAATTTTAGTGTTTCAATCATTTAAGAACGCATGAATTACATGCAATTAAATCAAGAAACTGTTTCTATCTTCAAAAATGTTTATAACACATATTTATTTATTGGAAGGAGCATAAAAGAACCATCAAACATGCCCAAAGGATGTAGGACAATATCTTAAAATCAGTTCTCTCCTACTATGTGGGTTCTGGGTATAGAATATAGATCATCAGTCCAATTACCTTTGCCTACTGATCCAGCCACAAGGAAGTGCTTTCTAAGCTAAACCAAACAAAGTAACCCATCCACAAATTATCAACTCCAGTCCCTAGAAGTTCAGTGCCTTCTTTGTCCTCAACAAGAATTGCACACACATGGTACACAAAAACACATGAATGCAAAACATAAAATAGATAAAATATTTTAAACAAAAAAGTAAAAAAATTAATAGGGATTTATTATACAATCTATGAAAAGAGGGTGTATCATATAAAAATGGATTTTAGAGATATTACTTTGTAAAATACTTTATAAACTGTTTTCAAATGTTAATATAACATTGAATCCCACAGAGAAAGTATGTGTTGTGATGTTCTGAAGACAAAGAAGTATTAACGTACACAGAATCAATTGTCTCTTTTTGCAAAGTATAACTTTCTCAACACCAGCAGCAGTTTCCTGTGTGTTCTTGTTTTGGAGCCTGGGCTGTAACAAAATATGAGGTATAAAGATGTCTCTGTGGCTTTCAGAAGCAGGACATGAGGAGTAGTCGCAAGGTCATCCTAAAATAACAGATACCTAAAACAGTGTCTGTCTAAACCATTGTTAATGCTTGTCAAAAAAATAAAAAAACAAAACCTGTAACTTGAGCTATGTAAGAAAATTGAATTTTGTGGCAATATTTTGCTGATGGCACTAAATACACAACTTCTAATGTTTAGAGGGAAACACACAACAGAGTTTAGATAAGTAAGTTTTTTTCATTTCTTCTTTTACAGAAAAGAGAACTGTCACCTTGCAGGTACAGACAATCACAAAATTTAAAACAGTGTCTAATGTTGTTGGGTATCTAAGAGGTTTGACATCACCAGGTAAGTATGGTTAAGTAGTCATAATCTAGTCCATAATTCATATGGAACAACCAAAATTGTCCTGTTTCATAATAATTTTAAAATAAAGTTCAATATTCTACTTTATATAATATAACAATTATATGTTATACAACATATATACATGTTTATGTATATTTATATATACACACATACATACACATATATGTACATACACACACATATATACACATACATATATGTATATACACACATACTTATATACACATACACACATGTACAAACATACACACACACACACACACACACAGAGGTTTATATGACTAAAAGAATGGATTAGTGTGAATGCTTAAAGCATTTTTTTTTCCTACAATATCTCATCAACAATTAGCATTAGCAGGTACAGTATTTTAAAGTCCAGGGAAAGGAAGATATAGGTAAAGCTTATATTTGTGTTAAATTGGTATGGAAATAAATAGACAATATGTTTTATATTACTTACGATGATACTGTGTGGATTTTTTTAGTGTAATGAATGAGTACTTTAAAATAAAATGTCACAGGTTTTAATGATACACTTTTTGAAAACTAATCAAATTTAGTCTCAAAGCAAATCCTTCTAATCTTAACCTCTGTCTGCATAAATGTCTGACCCATAGTTCTGCTCAATGTCTGTAAATTTTGGTGTCAAATATTTTTATGGAAATAGTTATCTGTTTATATAGTAAATATTTTACTACTTATGAACTGCTGAAAAAATCATCAGTCTAAAAAATAAGAATAAATGTAGTTGTTACATATATCAGTTAAGACTTATGCTGGTATACTGTATCTCACCACAAAGCTGGATAACAAATTATAACTATTTTATTTTATAAAATTTTATTTATTGTGGAGAGAGAGAGAGAGAGAGAGAGAGAGAGAGAGAGAGAGAGAGAGAGAGAGAGAGAGAATCTTCATATACCATGTTGGGTATATGGATATCAGAGGACAACTTTTGGGAGTTAATAGTGTCCTGCCATCACAGCTTCCAGGGATTGATCCTAGCCCGTCAAGCTTGTGGGCTAACAGCTTTAATTCACTTAGCCAATCTGCCACCCCTAGAGCACCATTAAGGTTTTATTGCACTCAAACCACTCTGTGGTTATGACTGGGACACTTTCTCAATTTCTCCTTGGAGAATTATTCTTCTCCATGGCACTAGTTAAATTGACCTAATTGCTGACCCAGAGAATTTTGAAATCAAGTTTTATTTCCTCCCTATTTCTTGACAGCCAACTCTTAAAAATTTCATGCAGTGTACTTATTCTCCTGGTTCCTTTATTGTACAACCTGTCATCAGAGCATCCTTACACACAGACACAAATGAACCTGGAAATCCATATGCTTTCATTTTACCAATTTATGTGTATTTCACTATAAGCAAGTCCAACTATACTATGAAAATATTTATTAACACTGCTTCATTTTTAACTCATTACAGGAAAACACTCAGTTGTACAAAAAGTATACTGAATTGATGCTAAAGAAATTTAAAACTACCAAACAATTGCATGCAAAAAAATTGAATTCTATGTAAAAAAAATAAAATAAAATGAAAAAGTTACTTGTTAATGAGATTTTATTTGCTGATGCGAAAAACAAGAGACAGACATTGTTGATTTGTTCAGAATATAGTCCATCTCAAGCAGAACTTTCAGACATTTCTGAGAGATAGGTGAATACCCAAGAATTTGACGGTTGAATATAAAACAATATAATGTTGCATACAATCTTATATCCCATTACATATATCTTAAGAAAATATTGGAAGATTGTATCATTGATGGTTCAGTTCAGTACTGAAATTTTAAATTATTCTATACCATTATAACTCTTACAGCCACCTTTCTCTCCATATAGTCAAAGATACTTCCTTTATTCCATTTAGATGTATGACTTACTCTATGCCAGATACTGTTCTTGTATATACAATAAGGGGAACGGTAGCAGTACTCATATACTGAATTCAGAGGACAATATTGAGGTGTCATGTTGGGCCCAGAATCAAACTGAAGTCTTCATTTTTGAAAGCAGGTGCCTATACCCACTGTGCCTTCATGGCGATCCCTTATAGTTTATATGGAACATCTCATAATAAAGCAATAATGAGACTGCTCTTTAAATAAATTCATAGTGTTGTTTGATCAATTAAAGCAACCTTGGTTACTGTTGTGAATAGCACCAACTGGGAGCGAAAAAGGCAAGAGAAATCTCTGGAGCCATATATTGATCCAATTTTAATGGTAAGACTAGCTAGTGAAAAATGGTGAAAGGACAATATCCATGAATCATGACAAGTTTTCTACAGGAGCATCTTATGAACTGTGTATGCCCACATGAAATAAATTATATGAAAAGTTAAATTATCAGTAGTCCTGGCTTGATGCTGGTGAATCTTATTTTCTTTCAGAGAATGGAGAGGGTTTAGAAGCATAAATTGAAACCATAAATATATCCCTAAATAGTTACTTTTTAAAGAAAGTCTATAGATTTTTAACACACACCACTCTTAAGTCACATCCTTTACAGATGTATTAATAGTTCATTGCTGTTCACTAAGCACACAGGCATTGCTGGCTGTACACTTCCCACTATGATGCTGGAAAATGTTGGATAAGAATTTCTTTGTGATATATTTGTATGCTTCATTGATTAATATTCATGTTGCATGGGACAGTAATATGGATCTTAGCTTTGGATTCATAATTGGCTTTAGCAGCTGCTTTTGCACTGATATACCCAGATGTATGAATCAAGGCAGGGGCTGGAAAATGCTAAAGTGGTATTAATTATTAGAACAATTTGGTTTAATTGTTGCTTACTTGTGCAATAGGATTATATAAATGTCATTAAATTTATTGTCGAGGTTTACATTTTGTTTTAATGGCTCTTTTTTCATTTTATTTCCAGATCGGTATATTATAGTTGGCAGCAACCACCATGCTGGATACAATTATAATGGACAAGAATGGGCCAGCAGTACTGCAGTAATCACAGCGTTTATTGAAGCTTTGATGTTAAGAGTGAAGAAAGGATGGAGACCAGAACGTACTATTGTTTTCTGCTCATGGGGAGGAACACCCTGGGGCAAAATTGGCTCCTATGAATGGGGAGAGGTGAAATGAGTTCATCAATTGTATTTCTTTTATTTTCTTTCCTGTGCTAACCATTATTTCATATTCCATGTAACATAGTCTAACATTATTGAAGGCAAAGAAATAGCGAACCTCTCAAAAGAGCTCAAAAACTAATGTAACTCCATTGGTATTAGACCTATGTACCTACATACCAATTGCAATAATGTTTACTTCTACTAGGAGATAACATTATAGGCAAAGAGAAAGAAAGAATATTACACACATGAATACAGATTTCTGTTTTACCAAAGAATATTAAGCACTCATTACCATGTTGTTATCATTGCAATGAGAAATTTCATATTTTGCTTCTTGTTCTAACTTTCTCCCTTCTACTTCCTCAACCTCATTGCTCTACCCTAGCTTTCCTGCCTTACCACCTACTTACTATGAAGAATTTGAATAAATCCATAATTGAGATATAGTCAGTAAGCAAATGCAATATTTGAGTTGAGACACCATTGGTATAGCTATATATCAGGAAGACACAATATTCTAGTAAAATGTGACAGTGGATAACTAATGCTATACTAACAAGATTGTTAGCATTGTAAAACTCTCACAAATTTTCTGTAATTTTATGATTATTTGGAAAGAGAGGCAAAGCAAACATGTAGACAAAAGATATATGTAGTTCTGAATGGAACACGATCTGTTCAATATGTTTATGAACAAAATATTATTTGGTGAGAAAATATTAATGGAAGTTTATGGTCACAGTTCTTTCTTAGGTCTTAAACAAAGATAAAATGCCTATTGAGATTAAGGAAAATATCTGTATGGCATAGAAAACAAAATAATAGAGTTAGAAGTTTGTTTCAGTGGTTAAGAGAGCATGATATTTTGCAGAAGTCTGGGTTTGTTCCCAGTACTTACATGGCCCATGTTAACTACCTGCTATGCAAGCTCCTGGGAATCTGATGCCATCTGGTTATCCTTAGAGGGCAGCATGCATGCTCATGGTGTATATACATACACACAAACGTTCACATACATAAAGTTAAAATAACCTTAAAAGATAAACAAAGAGTCTATGTACTTTTTAATAGATAAATAGTCTTAAAGCTGAAAACATCTTCAACAATACTCACAAGCTTCAGGTGAGACAATTCCCATGTATGCAAGTAAGTGGTGGAACATTCTGTTTCATCAAGTACACTTTGAGATAAGAAATTCCATTGCTTTGAGAACTTTTCTAAATTCTTGGATGAAAAAATAGTAACCCAGAAACAAAGCTTTAAAATTTATTTCATAACTTCAAGAAGAGTACAATTTAAAAGCTGTACATGTTAGTGATGTGTGCTGTTTTAAATAATTACAAAGCAGGGAAATGGTGATTCAATTTTCCAGTAAATATTAGGGATATATTTTAAAGAATTTTTTAAACAGCCACAGTTATGTCTAAAACATTCACAATCAATTTATATTACTATTTAGTTAATAAATGTGAATAAACCACATTTAAAGAATAGGTTTCTCTCATTACTTCCTAAGTTAAACAGCTTAAATTCAAATTCCTAGGGAAGTGTATTGCAAAAAAAAATAGTTCAAAGCATTTGTCAGTTCTCAAAGACTGAAAATTAAGTAAATATGGGTTTATATACATGGGACTAATTTTTGCAAATTACATAAATATTTGTGTCTCATAAAATCTAAATTAATTTTAATTATTTTGTGAATGCATTTTTTGACAACTTTGTAATTTCTCAGCAGAGACTAAATATAAAAACTGCTGAAGTAATGAGTCCAAAAGAACTTATGTATATACACACAAACTAAAAATAGATCCAGCAGATTTTATTTATATATTTGTGTATATATATCAGTAATAATCAAAGAAAAATATGCTGACAACTCAGGGTGGATGAGAGTCAAGAGAAGACTTGGAGAGGTAGAGAGTAATAGAGAGGAAAGTATGACATAATTCTAATTCTATATACGTAGGTCCCTCTAATGTGCATGTGTATGTAAAACTGAACAAATTTATAAATTTAGTTACCTTCTGACCTCTTAGATCCGTAACTGGATAAAAAAATGAAGTAAGGAAGCTGACCAAGGATATTGAAAATTCACCATTGGCTGATAAAAATTTATCTAATTTTCCCTATAATAGATTACATCACTGTATCCCATGAAAACATTTCATCAGCATCCATTTGAAGGAAATTGTAGACCCCAGTTGCTCATTCTGATTATTGTTATCCAATCTTTCTTCTGAGAATGAAAACACTTTCTTTTATATTGATCCCAAGTGGAGGGGAGCAAGAGAAGGCTTTGTTCATATTCCTTCTTGCCCTCTATCATTTGCTATAATTTGCTTATGTAGGAACCCCTAGAAGCCCAGTCATGTCACCATGACAATTCCATTCGGTGGAATTATCCCATGTCAGGAAAAGTCCATCAGCACCAACTATTTAAGCTGGCCAGTTCTGTTCTCTAATGCAATGACTACAACATTAGGCACTGTCATTGAAGAAAATTCCCAATGTGTGTTCTGTAGTTGAATCCAACATTATTCTAACCTTCCAAACCTTTCCTCTTTAAATGATTACTTTATATAAGTACTAATTTAACAGCTGTTCAATTCTGCTCATTAGAGTAAACCAAATTTGGAGAAAGACTTTACATATAGAGGAAGGATTAACCTTAACACATGATAAAATATTTATAGCATGTTTCTCATAAATGTTATATTTTAGCATCAAAATATTTATTATCCTAATAAAGCAAAATGTGTTATTTTAATTGCACGAATGGTAGAACTTTTAACACTTTTTATTTCAGGATTTTGCGAAGATTCTACAAAAGAATGCTGTGGCTTACATTAGCCTCCACAGTCCCATCCGGGGCAACTCCAGTCTGTATCCGGTAGCATCTCCATCTCTCCAGCAGCTGGTTTCAGAGGTAAGATAGACAATATGTGAGAAGAGTAATATAAGGCAGCACATTACTCTATATGGTAATGCTTCTTATTTCTCTCATTTGAGTATTTACAAAATGATTTTTAAGAATTTTAAGGAATTTCCTGTTATTTCATCAGGTTATTTATTTGTTTATTTATTTATTTTGTCTGATTGGTTTTGAGAAGGAGTCTCCTAATGTAGCAGTGACTAGCCTAGAACTCACATGTGGACCAGGATGATCTATACTTGTAGTTCCCCGTCTCTCCCTCCAACTGTTGAATTTACAGATGCCAATACCCAGCTTTAACTTTATTAGTCAATATTGCTTAAACTGAATTTATTTTACCTAAGATCATCTAAGGGTGTATTTGTAAAAAATTATGAATTATTCTGTTATAGATATAGTAAAATGTAATTTTATTTGAAATTCAAATTTTGGTCTTAAATTCCAAATTCTACATTTGTGCCCTTTTTGTGGTAAACTTGGTTCCTTTGATATTTGTTCACGCTGGCTTGCGTTTTAGTAAATTTTGGAACTACCCTAGATTTTTCTGTCCTGAAGACAGAAATACAGCATTAAATGAGTGTAACATGTTTATAAAGTATGAGGCTAGGTAGGGTGGCATGTGCCTAGAACCCCAGCACTTCAGAGGCTAAAGAGGAATTGTGAGATTGAAACTCTCTTGTACCAAGAATTGAAGTTTTGAGAAACAAGCAAAATGAAAGAAATTTGGAGAAATTTTTGTGAACAATGAAAAAATGTTTCAACAAAATTTTATGACATCTACCTACTCTAATAATCATTTCTCACATGCCTCAAAAATTTAGCAGAATTTTTCCTCCTTTGTCAGTTTCTATCACAGTTATCTTTCCACATCTTTTATTACACATAATGTTATCTTCATTGGTCTTGTGTATGAAGATGTGCATACCACTACTGGGGTACATTTCGTTCTCGGGACCAGTCTCTGTTGGCACATATTGGACATGACTTTTTAGATGGTCACAGGGCTTCCAGTAAGTACCATAGGAAATGAACTCGAGAGAGATCATGAAACATGTCTTGAATACCCATAATTCTTGATTGAAATATAATGCAAACTATCACTTTATGACTTTCATAAACTATTTTTTAGTTTGAGAGTTTTAACTGACATTTCTATATGTCAAACATAAGAGAAAGACATTGAGAAAGATCGAAAAGATAAATGTGTACTTTTATGATCAGCTCAATTCCAGTGTACATGCTATGAATTGTATCTAGCTTCTTATCAAGCTCACAAGAAATACACTGGAAGGAATGAGCTGCATACTTCTTCCCTAGGAGTTAAGATATTTATAAATAAATGAATGACCAGGAGAAAGAACCCTAATATTAGGCAGGTCAGTTGTCATTTATTTGCCTACTTTTGTTTTGTGTATCTAGTGATTAACACTAAGATATTTCACAGCCTTAGGGTTAAAATAGATATATACATTTATTTTTATGTTTTAAAATTTATTATTATTTTAAACTTTAAATATAGTATTTATTGAGAATGCCATACATGCATACAATGTGTTTTGATCATATTCACTACCAATATATCTTTCTAACTTCTCGTAGCTTCATTTCATATTCTTAATTCACCTCTCTATTTCACTTCCTCTTATGTATCTTAAGTTTTTCATAACCTACTGAATGCAACTTTTTCTGCTCATATACCTGTGGGTGTGGAACTACCAATTAATCATGGACAATCAACTAAAATGCCACAATCTTAAAGAAAGTGGACTCTATCTTCTCCATAAACTATCAACTGCCAGTGGCCCATCAACTCCTCCATGCTGAAATGTTGACTGTCTTGAGCTAATCCTATGCAGAACTTACGTGAGCAACTACAACTTTTGGGAGTTTTGGGAGTTTGAGAGCAGAGGTACTGTCATGTCCAAAGCACAGTGTTTCCTTTGATGTTCAAAGTGCCTTCATCTTTCTATATTACCATGTCTTTCTTCATAATGTTCCCTGAGCCTTCAGGGTGGTGATGGTGAGGGTACGATATTGAAGTTCCATGTATAGTTGAATACTCCATAAACACATATTCTCGATATATTTAATGGCTCATAACAAGATCTATTCCAATATTTGTTTAGGAGAAAAACATTTTTGGTTCTGTATTGAAAATACATACCAACCTTATATAAAAATGAGCTAGAACTCATATTGAAAAAAAACCTTCAATTTACTTGAGTTAATTTATTTACTAATATTCAAAAAAGTATTTCATTTTTGTAATTTATAATAATGACGAATTAATTTATTTTTTTCATAGTAGCTATAGTCTATCATTGACTTACGATCAAATATGAACCACAGGCAAGAACTAAGTTTCTGGTTAAGCTAATTTTTTTTGTTCTTGTACTACTATGGTGATTGTGCTCTTTTAAAAGTACAAATTAACAAATACAAAACTGATCACATCACTTGTAATTTCTGTAAGTTGTTGATTGAACTGAAAAACTATATTTAAAAACCTAGATATTAATATTTTTGAGTATATAAACATTTTAATTAATTCATGTATATTTTTTCACAGTGTAACTTACCTCTCTCTTTCATAGTATGAACTGCCTATGTACTCGATGAAACTACAATGTTGTAACTTACAATGGCAGTGTGTATACGTGTTTTTTGTGCAACATGAGAGCATGCATCTTCTGCGTAGTTTTTTAAACCACGCTACCGCTACCACCTTCTTCTGGGAGCTGTGACCCTGCTACCAGACACTCCCTGCTTAACTCCGGATCTGCAGCTGCCAGCACTGACCTGGCTTGCCCAGAGCTGCTGCATTCTGGCCCTTCCCTGCTTCCTTTTGTCCCACCTGGCTTAGCTCAGCACAGGGGCATATCTCAATCAGCCCCAATCTGGTTTCTCTCTCTACCTGCCTTATTCTCTGAGAGTCAACCGCTCTACCAGCCCACTCCCGAGGCCCTGGAGTGGATAAAGGACAGAGAAACAGCTTTAATATTTTAGGAATTGGCAGCAAGGCACAATTGCTGGGGGCAGAATATCCTGCCTGGAAAGGCATACATGACCTCATCAATTGGTATCTCCTTTTCTCTTCTGGCCACAAACTTGGTGGTCATTCCAGTCAGCTCCTGACAAACAACTCTGGCAACCTGCCCTTCATCGGAGCCGCAGGTCGTAGCTGCCCTGAGATCTAACATGATTGCTGTGTGCCTTGCTACAAAGCCTGCCAGAAAAACCCCTCCCACCCCCTTGCATCTCTTTTTCCTCTTGGGACCCAGAAGTCCCACTTGTCCCTTCTACCCAGCAATTGGCTCTAGGCCCTCTTTATTAGCAAGTCAAGAACCAATTAGGGAACCAGACCAGCACCTCCCCCTACATGTACAATCATATAAAAAAATCAAATATTAGAAATATTAGATGCTAATACATTAATTAAATAAATATTCACCCATGGATTTTTTTAGTTGTTTCCAATCTTCCAATTTTAGAAACACTACTCTCCTAGAGATTTGTGTGTGTTGGCAGAATAGTGACATTGGATTTGTTCAACTATTTATGTAGATGCAAAATTGTTTTATCACAGGGTAGACACATGATAACTTCAGCTCAAAAAGGCATGAAGTTCCATAGGACAAGTGTACCACTTACAGTCAGAACATTAAGGTTTGAATGTTCAAGCAGCCTTATGTCATTATTGATATCTGGGATAGCAGCAATATTTTGGAATTTTAAGCAAATTTTATCAATGTTTAAAACAATTAAACATTTTTATAGAACTTTTTTTACACTGCATTATTGTTCCAAAACCTTATAATATACAACAAAGTGAACTTATGTTAACCTACTACAAATATTAAGAATGATTTTCCATTCTATCATTAACAAACATTTAAATATGTACTCAGTATATACATTTGTGTGTGTGTGTGTTTGTGTGTGTGTGTATGAAAATCTCTGTCTGTATATCTCTGTATGTATTTACTTACCTTTTCTGAATAAATTACCATGAAATAAAAAAATTATTTTAAAAATCTAAATCTGTAATACAAGATACACAGGTGTTAGGCCTTGGCTGATGAAATACACATAATTTCATACAAAATAATTTATGGCATTACTGGAAAGATGGATCCAAAAATAATGGTTTTAAACATTAATATACAATATAAATATGTACACACCTCTGTTTCTATGTAGTTCTTTTCTCTTAGGTTTTGAAATCCTCTCTCATAGGTTACAGTCCCATGCATTAGTCAGCACTCTGTATGTCAATATGGATAAAATTACTTAAGAGCTTAGTGTTTGAAGAACTGAAGCATGTCTATAATGTGAAAGTAGTTAATCAAGTCATAGTTTACGCTTATTGCTTTGTAATTACCTGATAGTAGCTGGAAAATCTAAGGATATTTAGTGACAGCATTGATAATGTGAAAGTGCAAGGCACAGGCAAAGATTCACAAAGCCTTCTTAGAGCTAGCCAGACTGTTTTCCAGGTTTGTAAACTCTTTTAATTTTGTTTTACATTTTTGTACATACTAAATTGTGGTGATTTGAATAAAATTGGCTCATATGTTTGAATAATTGGTCTAAAGTTGGTTGAACTGTTCAGGAGGGATTTAGATATATGGCCTTGGAGTAGGTATGGCTCTGATGGAGGAGGTATGTCCTAACTGAAGGCTTAGTGGGAGGTGGTGTGTCAATGAAGGTGGACTTTGAGGTTTCTAAACCTACACCTTTCAGAGTAAACTATCTCTCTACCTTATGTCTGTGGATCAAACATAAGCTCTCAGCTACTTCTCCAGAGCCATTTCTGCCTGTTCACTGCTCTGCTACCCATCAGTATAGTCACTGACTCGCCCTCTAAATCTAGAAGGACTCTGTTCTGAACTTTCTTTTATAAGTTACCTTGGTTATATTGTCCTCTCCACAGCAAAAGGAAAATAATTAAGACCTAAGGCTTTCCACCAAAATATGCAATGCATGTATATCAA